ATTTAAGTATTTTAAGAAAATATTTTATTGTTTCTTTGTTTAGAAAATATTTGAAATATGAAATAAAAAATTAGACATAACTCTAATTTAATTTATAATTTAATTATTTAAAATAAAATAAGGTGTGATTAAATTAATTAATCTTTATTATCAAAATTTTAAATTAATTAATTAAAATCTAAAGAATTCTAAGTATTTAGAAAATATTTTTGGTGTTTTATTTAGAAAAGATATTTGAAGTATAAAACCTAATTCTAATTAAATAAAATCAAAGTGATTAAATTAAATTAATTTTATTTTTCAAAAATTAAATTAGTTAAATAAAAACATAAATCTAATTTTTTTTATGATTTTTTTCTAATTTTAAATAAAATTAGTTAAAAAAGAAATGTTAATTAAAAAAATTAAAATTAAAATGGGCCAGTAGTGTAAGCAAATTGGGAGTGAGAAAGAAGCAAAAATATTCTGGCCTAACAACAAGTTTTTGTTAGAAGCAGAAAAATAAAAATAAAATAAAAAGAGTAATAGAGTGGGCCTGCGTTTGTAGAAGAAAATGGAGGGGTGCTGAAAAGCAATAGATCCTAGGCCCATAAGCGCTGGCCCAGATGCATGTGTGATCTAGTGAGGTTGATCTTAGGAAGTCCACCATGGTTCTGGTTGTCTGGAGCGCTGGATATGGAATCTTACAATTTGATGGTAAAGATGTGAGGTATACCATGCGCGCTTTGCACTGGATCTGTGAGAAATAAACATGGAAAAGAAAAAATGTTCCACGCCTGGCTCGAACCCGTGACTAGGCATAGGTATGACTTAAGAGCAAGCGTGTTGCCACTAGGGTGGTTGTTACATCTGGTGATAAAACATGTTGCAATAAATAAAAAATGAACTCGTTTTTGAAATTTGAAAACTAGTGCCATGGCCTTCTTCTTCCTCGCGTTGTATATCAACATGACTTCACCATTGTTGATTCTGTAAATCCCTCATTCCTCAACCAAATTGAGAGTTCTAAAAAACAAAAATGCTTGATTTTTTATCACGAATTCGACCATGTAATTTTCAGAAGCTATAGATTAGAGATTGAAATCAATTTTTCTTGGTACCAAACTGAAACCATAAAACTTCATAAAACTTAGTTCCAAAATTCTCATCACACTGTCAATTAAAATGAGATTTAAGGACATGGTTAGCTTCATAGACATGATATCTATATTTTATCTTTTGAAATTGAAAGCAAATGATGTATGGATAAGGATATCATAGTTTGGAAAACTTACCTCTTGAAGTGAAATCTCAGAACGAGTATGGATGCTTCCAAGTACAATGTGATGATTGATTAAGCTTCCTTAGACCTCCTTGAAGCTATTACAATCCTTACTTTGTGTTGAAAGTGGCTGAATCACTCCAACTAAGTCAAATTGCAAAGTTGGATTTTGCAAATTATGGATGTTGATAATGGAGTTATAGTGGCAAAACAGGTGTTTGGATCACTTATACATGATGTATATGAAGTATTTGGGTGATTGGTTTGGATAAAAGTTGTAAGGTTTGAGAGATTCGAAGATTTAGATTTCAAAGCTAAAAAATGAAGCTTTTGTGTACAATTCTGGTTTTTTGAGAGTATGAGGGGGTTTGAGGGCTTGTGAAATCGTGTTTTGGCTTGCAAATAGCCTCTATATTTATAGAGAAAAGGTTTGAGGGCAAGGGCTGATCAGATTTGAAAGATAGCATGTTATAGTTTGGTTGATTAGTTTTGAAGTAACTTTGAAGAACATAGTTCCAATGCATTGTACCTTGTCTCATAGAGTTGTTGAACACTTTAAACATGTTTCTTCTGATTTGTTAGATTGAGTGTGTGCAGAAGCAACAAGTTAGAGGCTCAAGGAGAGTTGACAATTGCATAAAGCATGTTTTTCCAAAATGGAAGTGTTAACTTTGTATGATTAATGGAATTATGCATTGGACAATGCTTGAACACTTGGATAATAGCTCAAAAGCAAGTGTAATCTTCTGATTAGTGAGAGATTTGTGGGCTTAAAGGCCTGCAAAGGGAGATTACAAGGCATGGCATGAAGATTTTGTTATGAGTTCATCATAAAAATGACTTATATTTCAAGAATGGATACCTAATTTCATGTCTTCGAATCTCCTAGCTCAAGTATGATAAATTTGTGTTCTTGGACATTTTGGAAAGTTTGAAACACTACCTACAACTTTCATGTTGTAAGTTTTGGCTAAATCAAATGGGAATTTGGTGAAAATTTGCCAAGAAGTTGAGATGAAAAACTGACCAAAACCTGTTAAAATTTTTCTAAGTGTTGGATAAAAAACATCAGAACTTCATGGACTTATATCTCTTAAACTAAGCACTTTTTGAGGATCATCCTACATTAACAAAGTTGTAGAATTCATCAATCTCTACAATTTTCATGTTGAGATTTTTCCTTAAATCATCTTGTATCTTGAGGAAACTTGCTTGTGAAGTTAAGATTTTTTTTAGGCATAAAACACTTAAATTTTTCTAAGTGTTTGAACATCTTCAATTTTGACTTTTGTTAATTTTTTTTATTCTTGATGATCAAGTTTGATAGTTTTTAATGTTTTTGGTGATTCTTGATTTTTAAATTCCAGTTGGCTAAAAAGTCAAAATTTGACTTTTTGAGTGACTGTTGACTTTTCATCAATTGATTCAATTTCTTCAATTATCAATCACTTACATCTTTAGAAATGTTTTGAGCCATGTAATTAGGTCAAGATGTTGTATTTGAGTCCTTGAGATCATGCTTCAAACCATTAGGTCATGCACTAGGCCAACAGTCGATGATCAGTCCTTCAGTTAAAACCCTAATTTTGATAATTTTTTACCTTTGATGATTTGAGGATTTTCCTTGGGGAATCATGATCAACCCTTGATCAAATGATGAATATCACCTCAAAATGTTAATGTTGACAAAAAATCTTGAAGTAACTGTATGTTAGTCATAGTTGGTTTTTATTCAATACAACTGATTTTCAATTATTTAAGTCATTGACCGAGCAAACATGTGATGCAAGACTTGAAACTTGACACAAGCATTATTGAAGACCTATGATGAATCATGAAAGTCACTTGAGGCATTGGAAGTCTAATTTTCCTTGAGAAAACCAAAACCCTAGTTATAGGCTTTAAGAGGAGATTTAACCAGACAACTTTTGAGTAACCTTGACTATTTAAGACTTTTATGAAAATGTCTTGAAGAAAATGAGAAGACAAATTTTAAGATACAACAGTTAACACTTTTAATATTTAACAAAATTAAATTTTAACTCGCGCAAAACACGGTCAAATTTTTTATTGTTACTATTGAATTATAAATATATAATTAAATGTTTTTAATAATTTTAAATATAGTTATACTTAATGACTCTTATTTTAATTCTTTCAATTTGAGAATATGAGTATATTTCAATAGAATGACTCACGAAACATATGTACTCACGAAACATATGTAGTATGAGTGTATTTCAATATAATATAAGAACTCGCAGAATATATGTAATGAGTATATGTCATAATGGGACAACAATCCGTCTAAAGTGTCGGATCTCACGGACAATTTTAAATATATAAAGCACAACACATGTCATTTTTTTAATTTTTCATTAATACATTCAAATTAATTTCTCACTCATTCTCTAAATTAAGTTTACCCCCACTCGGCGGTATTGAAGCTCACTTCACCGCATCAAAAAAAATTGTGCATCCAATATCCATCTATTTCTAGTTTTTGTTCCAAACGATATTTATTTGTGACTATTACCATAATTCTATGCTGTAATATACTATTTAAAAAATTATATTATGAATATCAGGAGAAATTGATAAGTGAATGTACCCAAAAAAAAATAGATATAAAAAATTTTCTACTGCTCTACGATGGTTGAGACTAAACATTTTTTTTAATGATGATAGAAGCAGCAAAATTGCTGGTTTAGTTGTACCATAATAATCAGATAAATTAAAAGATGAAAAAAGCTAACATATATCTCAGAAGCACAAGTAAATAAGTTATTTATAAAAATATTTTCTTAAAATACTTATATTCAATATTTTGAAATTTTAAATATAACTTTATTATATTTAATTACATTTAAATTTTTTAATTATAATATCTTTAATATGTACCCTTAAAGCACAAGTTAGCATGATCCTTAAAAGATTTATGACAAATATGTCCCAATAAGTAATGAGTTGTTAACATTAGCCTTAAATTTAATATATTATAATAAATATGTTTGACAAATATTGTTTATAGAACTTCATGATAAATATTTGTTAGTATGACTTTTTTTTTAAGAACTTGGGGATCTGAAAATGGAATACCTGCTAATCAACTCGGACAACAACTTTTTAACTAAAAAAACTCAGACAATAAGCTACAAAAAGGAAATATAGAATTCAAAATAAATCAAAACCAGTGGATTTCTTTGAAAATTAAACAAAAACTTCAACCAAGACATATTACCAACAAAAACAATAATGTTTATACCTTGGTAAAATTTTGCAAATACTGTCTGGTTTGACATTTACCGGTGCCTGGTTGCAAAATCGGGAAACACTGCCCGTGTACACTACATGCTCTGTACAAAGTCACAAACAACCATCTACTATTGAAAAATCTCAACTAAAATACAAGGGAAACCACGTAATAAGTGTGCAGGCAAAAATTATTAACGTAAGAAAATATTAGTAGCATACATGAGAGATGGCGTGATACTTTTCATTTCTTTCTTTCTCCCCAAATTTGCCAGTTAGGAAGAAAGAGATATTCGATATCTTTTGTCTAGTCATAAACTATGTGTATCCTGTGATCAATGCAACAACAACTAGCAATGAAAAATGAAGTTTAATAAAACTCTTCTACTTCCCTTTCCCCGAACTCTAAACTCAATTTTCAAACATCCATGCATCGAAAAACAAATGAACTCATTAATTAGAATGGCAAGTTCAGTAAAATCAAATACTACTCCCTATTTGGGGGACTCTGAAGTGAAAATCCAGATGATCCAGGATGATCTGGGATTCCTCTAGTTGTAGTAAGGGTTGTTGAGCTCTTATCTTTAACGTCATCAGATGAATAATTTCCTTCTTTTTTTCCTGCTACTGAAGGGGGTCCGGTCCCACTGTGCGTATTACTGGGAACATTACCAATTAAGCTTTTATACATAGTAAGGGCTTGAGCCATCATGTTAGCAGGATTGGATGCAGAGCTAGGAAGCAACATTGTGGTGCCCTGAGGAAAAGAAAAGAATAATATATAAATTTCAATGTGGGCAAACTGTGCAGTGCATAAACTTGCATGACAATCAACATTTAGCTATTACCTCCTTGGCTATGTTACCGAAAGCATGAATATATTGCTCTGCTATTCTTAAACTTGCTGCCTGCAAAACAAACGACAATAATGATTTGTTCTTTGTTATTCCATGAGACTCGTTCCCTGTGTGTTGATTAAGAGGGATTTTTACATTCCAGATGCTGAAGTTATGGGGATTGGAGATTTAGACAAGAGAAGAAAAACAATTAAGACTCCAATATGATTCATAATAATTTGATATACAACACTAAGCAATAACCCATTACAGGGATACAGGACTCCTGGTCTTAATTGAATAGGGAAACAAATCATGATAATAACTAAATAATATGAAAACTGATCTTCTGAGATACTCTAACATGAGAAACCAATCCTATGAGCTACTTCAAGATACACAAACATAATATCAAGATATCATAAGATATTCCACTTAATCTAAAACCAGACCACCACAAGTTTTTTTCCCAGTTTCAGAAATAACGCAAAATTAACCATAATAAACACTTCTACTCTGTTTAATGTGTGTTAAGACAAGCATTTGCAAACTTGATTCCTTTGATATTGAGAAATGAATTTTGGTTATAGTGAAATAGAAGAGAAGTGATTTAGGCTTGGCAACTTATCAAAACTAAGTATGTAGTAAAACTTAGGTGCCTTTATTTGAAACCCATAAAAAAAATTATTTCCACGAATTATGGTAGTTGGAAACATAGATTCTCATGTTTGTTAAAGAGTTACAAAATTTATTCTCACAGAAAATATTCACAAGAATAAAATAACTTCTACTTCCCAAGTTTTTATTCCTAGAAAAGGAGCTGCGAAAAAAGGTATCCATGAAATGTGCAAATAAATTTGTGTGCCTGCCCCTATAGCATATACATACCCCGCTCTGACAAATAATGCACAAGAATATATTAAGTGTTAATCAAACACTTTTCTCTACAAATTGCCAAAGAATAGGAGTCCACCAACCACTGTTTTCCTGAAAAAGTTATTCTCATAAACCATTTTCACAAAAACTGAAACATATGTTTTAGTGTGAAATTTTTACTGCAAAGCAATGTAAAAGCTACATTTTCATATTTAACCAAACATGCATTTATGAGCATTCTTGATTTTGGGTTGATACAGCAAAACATTAAGTTTGTAACATGGTTTGAGGGGTTAAATGCTCCTCTAAGAAAACAAACATTACACAAGAAACAGTCAACTGTACTGTATACAAATGTAGTCACTTGCGTGTCTAGTTTGTCTGAGTGGAATGCTAGGATATCGAAAGTTTAAAATTTCCAAGCATCTTTGATACACAAACAATGGAACTCTAAACATAAGAAGTTTGCAACCTAAACATGATTTCCGGCCAACGCATTGTAATACTTAGATGAAAAGCTACAAAATTACTAAAAAAGTATTAACAAAAAAATGTAACAGAAAGAACAGCATAACCTCACCTCTGATCCTCCATTTTCTTTTAGGGTTTGTGACACAACAGAAAGTCCTTCAGCTGTTGCTCTTGCCCTGGCAATGATGGCTTCAGCCTCACCTGAAAAAGAATGGTGCTAATAATAAGTTTTGAAGATATCAAGCGGAAGTAACAGTTTAGTAACAGAACATCAATCAAGCTAAATTGATAGATAAAGAAAACAGACGATGACAGCATGCTAAATTGAACACCAATTTATGGTCACATCTCAATACTCAAGTAAGATTGGTCCAATCCATAATTTATAATCTCTGCATGCAGAAAATCCACCAGACATCAAAGCTATCGTAGAGAATAATAGTGTAGCAGAAGAGGAAGCTGGAACCAATATATCAAAATGTAATTAACCTCTTGCTCTGTTTGCTTGATCCATCATAGATGCTTCTGATGCCAAGATCACTGAACTCTTCTTTCCTTCAGCAATGTTGATATGAGCCTGCCTTTCTCCTGTTCAACACTATAGGTTGTCAAAGCCATAAACACAAACTACAATTTTGAATGATATGGGTATTGAAACTAATTTCAGGATGATAATGATGCAATGTCATCCTTGGACATTTGAAGAATTGGAATATCAAAATGATTACCTTCAGACTCAAGAATTTGAGCTCTCTTTTTCCGTTCTGCTTCTGCTTGCATCTCCATAGCTGCTTTCACTCCACGTGGAGGGGAGATATCCCCTGCAGAAAGACAACCACAAAAGAGATTACACCAATATTGTCGAGTACAAGATAAAGGATACTCGTTCACACTGCCAAAAACTCACTTATTTCATATCGAAGGCATTCTAGACCCCAACTTTTTGCAGCCACGTTAATGGACTCCTGCAACAATTTAGCCACAATTAAAATAATCATTATTAAGTTTAGCTGCAGATGACGAGAGAGTTATTCTTTATATACTTCTTCAAGACAAAATTTAAAATTCTTAAGCTCTGTTTTACTTATGGTACATAAAAAGAAAATACATGGGAGAGCAAGTCCATAGCTGTTGGTTTGTGTTTGCAATCTACATTTGGTCGTGTCAAATTTCCACCACGGCATTACAGCACAGCAGATTCGTGACAGCCACTAAGACGTAACACCTATTATACTCGCCATGTTTCTGCCATAGGCCACAACACCATGTTTATATGGCAGGTTTATGGCTGGCCACAACAATCTGCCACCACCTGCCATTGATAACACTGTTGCCGTTGCTATAAAATAACTGCCTACCTTGAAGTATGTGCAAACAACGATCTGCTGTAGATTGGGGGTTAGTTTCGGTAAGTTATTTAGAGTTTAAATGTCATAAATATGGCTTTTGATTATTGATATTATTTATTCTTACTTGTTATTCCAGAATTTTATTCTATTTTAGATTATCATACTTCAACTTAGAACAAGAATGGATAATTAGGGTGCTTGGCTTTGTTAGGTCTCTAAACAGATGTTGAGTGTAATATTTGAGATGCTTTTGATTAATAAATAATGTTTCCGCATTCACAGAGTATCTGATATACAAGTAGCAGGCACACTTTTCCCAAGAGGAGGATGAATAACCCGAGAAAACATGCAGTTCTTACGGTTGTTAGACAATCTTATGGATTGAAAGTGTCTAAGAAAGAAATAGCAGGAAAACCCAGATATTTTGAGGAACTTGCAGTCTGGAAGTTGATTTAAAGGTTTATAGTAGGATGAATTAAGCTGCAAAACCGATGTTGGCATTCTCTTTATGAGGAACTATGAGAAAGGCATGATTCCAACTAGTGATCAATGACTATGCGAAGTAAGAAATCATTGAATTTGGAGTTTCAGAGTAGAAATAAGGGTGTGGCAGGAAAAGGGGAAGAATTAGTTAGCAAATCTGCAAAGAAGTGCCTCTGGATGTTCGAAGGAAAAGAAGATATTCTGTTTTGGAAGTTGTTTTGCAGAGGCTGATAGGTCATCTCTTTGTAAGGGATCTGTCCTTTGAGAGTGGTTCCAAGACTATTTTGGGTGGTCATTTCTTTTCTAGTTCAATTGTTGTAGCTAGCCTCTGCTGTATAATTCAGCCAACTTGGTAATATCTAGTTTATATCAATAATACCCGGTAGTTTCCTGCTCTTTGTGCCTCTTTGCTTATCAATAATCTAACAGACTTTACTAAAGTATTTGATATGTATTAAAGTCAAGTTGCTGAAATGAATTAAGCTTTATCCTATCCAAAGCACCAACTGGATAATGTATCATCATCAGTCAAGGACTTAAGGCACACTGCATCTAATAATAAGAGGAAATGAGCCAATGCTCCCTAACCAACAAAACGTTTCATCTTTATTTCCTGTCTCATTCTTTTCTTTTATTTCCCCCTTATCTTAATATAACAAGATTGAAAGAGGTCAAGTTATAAGTTAGACAGGTTATCCTTCAACCAAATCCCTAAAGCCTCATCCGAAAAGGCACATTCATTTAAGAACTTAACTATGCGCTGCTTATCTGTGATTCACGCGGATAAAATTTTTAAGTAGGCTTTAAGACTGAAGTAACTAAACCCTAAACCCATAAAAAGGGTGAATCAATGGAAAAATAACTAGCATAGCAAAAACAACCAGATCATTGAAATAAACGCACCACAATATTTTCATTGAGCGTATCCCTTTCCGCAAAGGTCTTGTCGAGAGTAATCTTCCCGAGTTCGCTACGCATTGTGGTCTGAGCCAGCTGAATGACAGCGTAAATGGGATTCTCAACCCCGTAAGAAGCAAGTTTAGGATCCACAATCTGCACTCCAAGAAAACACAACTGAAAAAACAACCCCAAGAAAGAAAACAAAAGAAACTATTTACAGAAAATCGAAACACCTTAACATAAAGCACACCATCAATGAGAATGGTGACATTATCTTTAGTGATAGCAGACTGATCAGGAATACTGATTGCTTCTTCCTTTAGCGAATGCACATAAGCAATTCTATCCACAAATGGGATCAAGAAATGAATTCCAGATGGTAGAGTCTTGACGTATTTTCCGAATCGCTCGATGACAAACGCTTTCTTCTCCGGTACAATTCGAACCCCCCAATTCACCGGAGGAATAGTTTCATAATTCCTGATCAGAAATTCAATTCAATTCAATGTAGCGAAACCTAATTAGTGAGGATGAAATTAAACTACCTTGAGATAGGATCTCGACCACTGCGAAGAAATCGAACGGAAGATAATCGAGAGGGGAGTGAAGAAGTGTGGTTGGTGGATGTAGTTGACGCCGCCGCCAAGGATTGGGTGATTGAACGAAGTGCGATTCTTCCTGAATTGGTTTTCAAGATGTTGGCCATTTTCGTGGTTTGGATTTGTCTGCAACAACAACCGCCTTATTCTCTTTCTTTCGTGTTCATCAATTCTCTTTCTTTCTTCACAATTTTTCGATGATAAAACTAAAGCCCTAGTAAAACCTCTTACCTCTATTTTTTCTTTACCGATCTATTATTTTGTTTTATTTCTATACAATTATAAATTTTGTATATACAAATAACTTAAGTAATCCGTTTGTAAGAAAAAAATATTAGATGATAAATTTAGGGTATGTTTGGTGTGCAGTGTACATGATATCTGTATCATATCTTATTTAAATTTTGTATTTGATGATATATATAATATAATAAGAAAAATTAATCTTAAAATTTATCGTATCTTATTAGTTTAAATTATTATCTTGAATATGAGTTGGATTAGAATCTCGCAGGTAGGAGTATTTGTGGTTTGGTTTGGATTGATTTTAAAGTAAAAACTCATTGATTCAAAGATAAATTTATTTGCGGTTCGATTCGGTTTTTGATGATATATTAAAAAAACTCATCTAATTCAATCCAATTTCATGTCGTTTAATTTAGATCAGTTTTTTGATATCCAAATTACACATTATATTTTTATTACTATTATAAAACTACTAATAAATCATAGATTTGATAGAGTGGTTGATTATGGTTGAAATAATAAAAATAAATAGATTATACCAAGCTAATAAATATTATTAAAAAATTTATTACCATCTAATAATAATTTCATGTAATATATCATATTAATAAAAAGTAAATAAATATAAAAATATATGTATGCGGTTCGGTTTGGTTTGGATCGATTTTGAAAATTTAATCTGAAAGTGACCTGAATCGATCGGTTTTCACAAAATGACATCCAAACACATCTAATAAATTTTGGTTTTTTGTGGTTTTCAGTTTTTTGAATCGATTTTTGGTTTTTAATTTGGATTGGTTTGAATTTGAACACCCCTACCGACAAGATAGAATAAGCAAATAATTTATAAATTTATCCTTACAAAATATAATTTAAAATAAAAAGTTAAATATAATAAAAGATAAAATAAAATAATTAAAACCTAATAAATTGGAATATTAAAAAATAAAATAATTATTAAAATCTTATAAATATGAATACTAATTTTATTTTTATCAAATTAAATATATTTTCTTGCAATATTTACATATTATATATACATGCTTTTTATTTTTGCTTATCTCACGCACGCACGCGCGCGCGCGCGCACACATATATATACACACACACACACACATATATATATATATATATATATATATATATATATATATATATATATATATATATATATATATATATATATATATATATATATATATATATATATATATATATATATATATATATATATATATATATATATATATATATATATATATATATATATATATATATATATATATATATATATATATATATATATATATATATATATATATATATATATATATATATATATTCGCCTATAAGTAGGATGAGTTGAGCATTTTGGAAACCTTTTGTGATCCTTGTCGTTCGAGTTTTCTCACATTCATTGCCTTATTAAACGCCTTCGTTTCTTCTCGCTTGAGAGCATTAATCAGAACAGTTGTAGTTCTCTACTAAAAATCTTTGCTTCCTTCATTCATTTTGCTTCATCAATTTTACATCTCAGGTACCTCCTTGAACTCAAGCATTCTCTTCTGCATTTCTTGTTTCCTATTCAGGATGAGTGATAATGTTGTTAATCTAGTGACTGGTTATGAGAGTGATACTTCTTCTGCTTCGAGAATGGGGATATCCCCTTATTCTCTTCTCCTTCATATTGACCATGATCATCTAGAACTAGAGGTCATATCCTTATATTATGATTCTAATTAAAAAATGATGTTTGGGAATTCCTTGGAATATGGGTCTTCTTCGTCCAATTCATTAGATGCTTTTTGTCAAAATTTGGTTGTGAGGTTAATAGGGTCGAGGTTTTTATCCCCCCCCCCCATCTTAATAGAGGAGGAAATACAAGTCAACTGGCAAAGGAGAGAATGTATTAAAACTTTATTTCAACTTTCTCTAAGGATTAATAATTATGAACCTAGTGATGCTGATGTAATAGCCTACTTGGATCTCCAAGACCGACCAGATGGAGTAGAGCATGGTTAGGTGGACGCTAGAATAGCAGGCATTTCATTTGTTTTAAATGTTAAGGTTAACATAAAAGTTGTTGGAATCGTGGTCAGCGATTTCCTGGAATGGTCAACTCTTCCAATGGCGCCAAAAAAAGGATATGTAGTTCATTTTACGATTATGTGATCCTGCTCTATGAGTGTTGTGATACGGTGGGAGAGAACTGACTGTTTTGGAATGCTGGTTCGCGTTTTGCGTTTGTTTTTGCAAAATGTCGCGGTAAGTAAGAGTCGCCACCGTCTTTTATTTTATCCAACAAGGAAAGGAAAAAAGCACAGAAAAATTCCTTTTTCGAGATGTTTCTCGGGTCCGAGGGGTAGATTATAGAAAGGGAAGGTGTTAGCACCCTTTCTATCCGTGGTTATCTACGGGCTCTTAGGTACTTGCTCATAGTGTTTTCAAAATTTGCTTTTCTTTGTATTTGTGGGTTTGAAAGAAAGTTTTTGTTTGAAAGGGTGTAAGTGCGAAAAGTTTTATCTTGTTTTGAAGAGAGCAAGTACTTAAGAACCATCTACCTACTCGAAAAAGGAATCAATTTGTACTAATATCCTTTAGACAATGCTATCCCACTATTGATGAGTAGGTAGCATCGTCGTTGAAGTTTAAGGGTCAATTCGATTAAGGGACGTGTGGTCACCAAAGCAATGTTAGGATGCCTTAACGGTAACCCTAATGTCTTAGATCATTTTTCCGAGGCAACTGTTTCGAGGCAACTATGATCTTTGGGCAAGAGGGCGACCTCTAAAACTTCCTATACTCAATGACCACGTTCGAAGGCAACCAAGTGAGGTATATCCTAAGAGTGCGCATGTGTGAGTGTGTTGTTTTCAGTTATTTTGTCTTTGTACATGTCAATGGTTATCTATGTTGATTTTAAGTTCATACATTCGATCTTGTCATGCATTCCCTATTTACCAAACATCTAATAGTTTATAAGTTGCGGAAATTAAATTGCGGAAATTAAAACTAAACTATTACAAGGTGTCGGGTATTTACATCGCCAAAAATAACCCTTGAATTTAAAATGCGGAAATTAAATAAAGTGATAAAATAATTAAAGTCCTATTAAAAATATTACATTCCGGGAAACAAATACAATAATATGGTAAAATGAATCGCGTGTGAGGAAATTAAATCGGGCGTATTTTTTAGGGTTTTGACCCTTTTTGAAAGAAATTGATTTTTTTGTTATTTTTGGATTAAAAAGAAATTAGGTCTAAGTTAATAATTAAATTAATAAACTAATTAATTAATTAAAATATTTCTGGATTTTTGGATATTTAGAGAAATAAAAATAAATTTGATTTAAAGTTAGTAAAACCTAATTATCTACATTGATTTTAAATATTGCAAAAATATTAAAAGTTAAACCTAATTAAAACTAAATTAATTGAATTAATATTTATTTACAAAAATAAAGTGATGAATTTAATTTTAATAAATAAAATATATTTTTGATTTTTTGATTTGATGGGAAAAAGATTTTAATTGGTTAGTGATTTAAATAATAAAAATAATAACAATAAAATAAATAAAGAAAGAAAGAAAAAAAGAAATAACCAAAAGGGGGGGTTTTAGGCCCGGATCATGGGTGAGATTGGCATTTTCCAAGGCTCAATAGTGCAAGCCTCATTGACTTTTCCTGGTTCCCTGTACGCCTTTGACTTGGCCTTATGATGGACCTACAATATGGACCATCAGATTTGGCCTGGAGGCCATCTGGCAGGCATCTGGGTGATGGTATATGATGTGCTACGCCCTGGGTATTGTACTGAATCACTTGGCTGAAAATGCAACAAATAATATGGGGACCTGGGATTCGAACCCAGGTCCTGTTAGCCAATGCATATGCTCCACTACCACTCAGCCAGCGCCCTTTAATTGTCAATGGAATGGATAGCAATTATTATATTAGAAAACAAATAAATATGCCAGAATTATAAAAACACGCGACAAGTGTTTGAATGGGCCAATTGGAACAAGCCACGTCTTCGTCTTCCTCGTGGGGACCTGGTTAATTTACCTGCGGATTTTCATCCGCAGCTAAATGCGTAGGTGTTTACCTTGGGTTTTGGTAAACAACCGCTGATCCTCCAAATGGTTACTTATTTGGTTACTCGCAGGATCGATCAGATTGATCCTATGGACATAGGTTGATTTTGAAGTTTGATTAAATTGGATAAGGCTTTAAGTAAATTGTTTCAAGTAAATTGCATAAAGGAAAGGCTTGGTAAAATAAACAAGGCTTTAAAGTAAAGGTTCGACAGGAATTTAAAGGAGAAAAGCAAGTAAAATGCTGGAAAAGTAAATGACTTTAATTGATAAAATTGGTGTTTCACACATACATTTCTCAACAATTCTTTCGCTCACACTGGGTACTTGAATCTAAATGAGTGACTATGTATATAATTGTGAACACACGCGAGAAACTACATATCTACTCCTATTTATACTAAAACATTCCAAGTAACCGTCGGGCAGTTACACTGCTTCGAGATCAAGCCACTTGGCACGTTCTCCATGCTCGACGCTCCAGATCCTTGCACGTTTGCACGTAGTAACTGCTGGAAACCGTTTTCCCTCCAAAGCTTTGAATTTCAAACTGCTCCACTCTGGACCATCGAACACCTTCATCAAGAGACGTCTTCGACGAACACTCCTTCGACGTCGAAGGCAACCAGCCTTCTTCCTTGGAAGAAATCTTCTAAGTATTTTGCCATCTTTCGACGGGCACTTCGACAGGCTTAGCCAGTCGAAAGCATCTTTCAGCTTTTAATGGCTGACATCAATCAAAACAAAGGTGTCGAATTTAGGA